GTCTGGGGGGTGGGGGGGTGGATAAGGGTTGGAGCAGTCAGGGCACAGGTAGGGGTTAGGGTCCTAGGTGGCCAGTTAGGATGGGGGGAGGGTCTCAGGAGGGGGCAGTCAGGGGACAAGAGGCAGGGAGGCTTAGGTAGGGGGTGAAGTCTTAGGGGGGGGCAGTTAGGGGCAGGGGTCCCAGGAGGGGGCAGTCAGGGGACAAGGAGCGGGGAGGAGGGCTGGGGGTTCTGAGGGGGGTGGGAAGTGGGTGGGGCAGGGGCGGGGCCAGGCAGGACAGGGGCGGGGCTCCTCCCGTCCTCTTTTTTGCTTGCTGAAATATGGTAACCCTATTATAATCCCTATTCCATAATATATCTTTGATGAGCTATAATATATCTTAATTAAAACTATTTTTAGATAGGTTTTTTCCTCAAAAAGCATTTTATCAAAAAAAATCCGATTTAAATAAAAAAATCTGATTTCTATTTATTTTTTAAATCAATGATTTCTATGCACCCTGGTATTTACTAATATCAGCTGATTTTAGTGACAAAAATAACACTACAGAACAACACAAGTAAAAGAGAATGAGCTGGATTTTATTCTTCATTGTGAATCATCAACAGCATTATTTACTTAGTTCCTTTTTAATTATAGTTGTACAAAGCCACTGAAGGCCACATGACTGCACAAATGTCACAGAGGGCCTAATTTGGCCTGCAGGACTGTTATTGGCTATGAAGTACAACAAGAAAAAAAGCCCAGTTTGACTCTCCAATTGCAGCATTGGCAATGACAGAAGATATCTTTTTAACTTGTAAATTGCATGTATTTTATGCAGAAATCGAGACAATAAACAATGGAAATCCATAAGGACATTTTTAGAGTCACTTTTCCGAGCTGAGCCACACTGGAAGATGAGGCTCTAACAATCAATATTATAACAAAGATATGGTGGCATAAAGTTGTTTAGTTCACCGCAAATGTACCATCTCGGGTCTCTTACTGCAGAGCTAACTTTGTTTGTGGTTTTTAAAACATTTTAAGCATTTTAAACCTTCATTTGGAAAAATAAAAACTCTCATGAAAAAGGAAATCACTCTAAACTTTTCACATACCACTCCGTTAACAGAAAGCAGCTGGTCTCCTCGCTTGAGTCCTCCATGTCTTTCTGCCACCCCTCCAGGAATTATACGAGAAATATATATTGGGGAGTTTTGTTCCTTTCCTCCCATCACGTTAAAGCCAAGACCTTCATCAGTCTTTGGCAGCTCCACCACTCGAGGGTGTGAATGGCCTTCACTTGCTGCAAAAGCAGCAACTGTTGCCTGAAAGAAAAGACAGTTATTTGGCCATGTAATGAGATCACTGTTAAGCCCTGTCGTTTGTTTTGCAGAAAGAATTCGTTCACATGAAAATAATATTTTGAAATTCTATCAAAGATTTGAAAGCAATTTACAAATGTTAAGTCTCAAATCACTCCTTTGAAATACTTGAGGAAACAGGCACTGAGAGAAGTTAAGTGACTTGCCCAATGTCACCCAGAAATAGATCCTAAAAGGCCAGATTGCTAGTCATCTGTTCTAACTCTGTAACACATTACTTCTCTTTTTAAAGCAGCTTTGTCACTCACTTTTTTCCTTACTGCTGTGCAAGACACCAATATAACCTTCTGCTGTACTTCTAATTTATGTAATTTGGATAAAGTTAATTGCCCCCCCCAATATATATGGGACTGATTATTTGGCTTATTCTTTGCCCCCAAATAAATCCTGAAGAAAGATATTTTCATTTAAACTATTTTATTAAATAGCCTCCATAAAATCTTCCTCTTGAAAAAAGTGCTGATAGATTAATAACTTTTACAACAGGGGCATGAACTTTTATACTGTAACTGCACTTTATATAAATAGGACTAGAAAAGTAATGCTAAATAATATTCAGATTATGAAAGTATAAAATGAATTAAACTAAATGACTATTCTCACTATAGAAAAATTACAAATATGTAAGGTATTGTAAATTTTGTATGAAGAAAAGAAAAATATTCTTTATTCAATCTTTCACTAGCAATTGTCTCTTTTTAATTGTAGACCCTGGTAAAGCATTAAGTAAACATTAAAAAAATATTTTTATTTTTTCAACATATCCTCAGATTTAAAATTACTGCAGTAATTCTACATTATGTTAATGCTTGTTCAGCATTCTAATAATGTTTATGCTTAATGGAAGCTAGTAGACGATATGAATATAATGGATTATTCTCAGTTATATGTACTTGCTCATGCAAACCTTGTCATCATGCATACATTTAAATGTCAGACATGAATGCACTAGGAAAATGCAATGCAGACAGCCCAGAAATAACCAGGAAGTATTGCGATATTCAAACATTGCTCTGTAACCCTGCTGTTCTATATGAATAAGAAATGAGAATGGCAAACACTATTCAGAATTTTTCACCCTTTATTATACCACGTAGCAATCATTTTTGTGTTTGCCTACAGTGTAAACAAATCATAATCTAACAATTTTCTACATTCAGTAGTAGAACCTTTACAAATCTACATTGTTCATTTGAAGTTTCAATTAGAAAAAGGTTAACTCATAAGAAAAAAACCTAACTCAATATAACAAAAATGAAATAAAAAATCAAATGCAGGAAAATATTTTGGTTACTGTACAGTAGGCTAATTATTTTAAACGTACTGGTTACCATAAGGAACATTTCTCTGAAATACTGTAGGTGTCTTTGATATGTATATTTGATCTTTGTGTGTTTTTACTATTGTCTTAGGGGTTTTTTTTATTTATTTGCTGCTTTTCCCCTAGTGTAGCTTTACAAGGGTGTAATCACATTAAAACTAATGGGATTTTGCCATTGACTTCCCTGGGGGAAGGATTGGGTCTTAATGAATTATTTTCCTGAAAAAATACCATGGCTTTCCTAGAATACGCTTACTGCATGATATCTACATAACCCGTTTACCAAGTGGCAGGTAATCTTCCTTTACCATTTGATGCACAGGTAGCTAATTCCATGATGAAGCCCTGTTGGAAGCAATTATTTTTGTTCGTGCACTGAAAACACAAAGCATATTACATGTTGGGTACAATAGGGATTCTTCCATCAATACCGGGGAATTCACACATTGTTACCACTCACTTTTATCAGACTTACATACTTGGGCCTTGTCTTTCAGAAGTGATGGGCACCCACAGCTCCCATTGACTTCAATTGGAGTCTTCTGTGCTCAGCACCTCTGAAAATCCTACATGCATTGATTGGAGGCTAGACCACCTGCTACTTGGGATGAGCCCTATAGGAGAATTTGTCATAAAAATATTGATATTCCAGGTTTAATTCTACAGAATGAACCAGTAGATTTGCTTTTGCAAACTGATTTTTCAATAAACCACCAAATCCCATGATATCATTCTCTTTTCTTAAGCTATAGAAGCAGCACAAAGGTTAAATTTGCCATTAGGATTGTTACCTGGGAAGTAGCACTGGTTCTAGACTCTGGGCTGCCACTGATGTCTAAATTTTCTTACAGAGCACACACGAATACCTGAAACACACACGCGCACAGTCAATTACTAGGTCACTTTGGTAACATGTACTTCAATAGTTGCACAGGTCTTACCTTTGCAGTGGCCCTGGCACGGAATTCTGGGCAGCCATTAACAGTTATGGTTTCATGCATATATTGATATACCTAAAATGTTCATGGAAATAAAGAGGAATTAATTATAGGAACAAAACCTTAATTTATTTTACCCTATCCAGGATACACTCTTTCCATCATAAGATGGTTTCATTAATGTTCCATTAGTACAATTAGGGAATCCTGTGTTTGTTGCCCTAGCTGTACATTTAGTTCCCTTGAAGACATTCTGTGCAATCCTCCGTCTAAGTCTCCCAAAATTGCTCCCTGGTCATGTCTGCCTTGGACTGTGTCAATTGTCTCTGACAGGAACTTGTTGAGTTTCTGTGACCTCTGAACCCCCTCATGAATTGGGAAGTCAGGAGGCGGAAGTAAAACAAAAAAAACCCCAACCTTTCCTGATAGGGTCTGCGGAGGGAAGTCCAAATTAAATCTCAGGGAATTTAATTGTAGAACATGGGCATCATACTCAGCGCTACAGACCTTCACCATCTAAGCTTGGTGGTGGTGTTGAATTTAATCTTTGCTGTAACCTATTGGCATTAGTCTGTCATAACAAATAGTGGGGAATAAGGGATGGCAATCTGGGTGGTAGGTTAGCAATGGTTAACATTGGGGATGGTCCTTGATGGACTGGGACCCTGTGTAGCCACACAAGTTATATAAAATGAAGAATCCCAATAGCTGTAACTTTCTGCACAATGTTCTCTTGCCCCTAACCCTCCCTTTTTATCCTTCCCACTTAGATCTTCTCTCTTAAAGAATAGGTAGATGGCATCTTCTCTTACGGTGTTATCCTGGGTCCCCAGGAATGAGTGCAGAGAGGAGGTGAGGGAGTTCTGATACTCTGCCCTGGTGATGAACAACCTTTTATTTAATTTTATTTTATTTTTTAAATTAGTGAGTGGCTGATGGGAGTTATAGATAAGCAGAGGCAGAAAAGGCTCAGGCAGCAATAAAAGAAATAGAGCCTGGGTGCCAGTTGCACTACCCCCGTTCCCTTATCGGCCTGGTAGCCCAAACCAGGTTTTGGTTTTTTTATATGAGAGGTGCAGCTGCCCCAATGAAGAAGGGAGAATGCAATGTGCAGGTAGGTGGAAATCAAGGTAATGGCAAAACAAGGGAAGGGCTAACTAATAGATAACTGAAATTTTTATAGCATCCAAATGTAATAGGCACTTTCCTACAGAGTGGAGAACTCTTTGACTATCACCAGCATAGAAATCATCCTGGGGCTGAATTCTGAACAATAGTGTCTAATGGGGATAAAACAGATTAAGGGAACAGGATGAAACCTTTTGCCCATCTCTTGTTAGGGTGAAATCCTGACCCTGTTGAAACAAATGGCAAAACTTACATTGACTTCAGTAGGGCCAAGATATCACCCTAAAACTTTAAAAATAAATAAATAACAAATAATAACCAGGTACTGAGATCACTGACTCAGTAATCATTTTGAAACTTTCTTTTTTGTACGATGAGAGTGAATTGTGCTGAGAATTCACCACAGCATTCTATCAAGCTAAATCCTGAGAAGTTATTTGAGACGTTGATTATATAGCTTGGAGAAGCCAAGGGGTGGTGGGTATTCATATAGTCAGCAGTTATCAAGCCGAACTGATATGACTCAATAGTGTCTGTATATTATCAGTGTGTATATGGCAGGCTGAGGTTGAGGCAGAGGCTACATAGGTAACTAAACTGCATACTGATGAGAGAACAAGGCTTTTAGAATGCCATTGAGCCAATGTAATGTTTGTCTGTCTATCTTTCTTTCTTTCTGCAATCAGTCATACAAAAGCAAGAACTTCAAATCTTTCCAGTCACTAAGAATTTTTTAAAATTAGCAAATTTAAGATGGTGTTCTCTAAAGAATTGTCAGTATCACCATGGTGACCATAACATCTGTAATATAGTTCTGTTTGGACAGGAATTTATCTTGTAATTTAAAACCCCTTAACTACAAGCAATTGATGCTATTACCCTTGAATATCAGCTTGATGCAACAGCAAATCCAGTTACCCTACCTGATTGTCACATAATGCTTAATATAATTTGAGATTAAGAGAGATAAAATATACATCTAAATGACTTTCACATTATTAAGTTAAACAAAACAATAAAAGGATTAACTATACCAATTCCAACAAGCCCTTGAGGCTTTGAGTATGTTACAGATTACTTGTTGTAACATCATATACAAAGCATATAGGGCTCCATAAATAACTACCATATGTCTGTAGCCACAATATCTCTTTTATCTAAATTATCGCAGAATCACTTCAGACATTTAGATTATGTTGTGCTCAAAGAAATGGACACAAACAGTCAGTTCTGTTGCCTATCCTATGTGTACACATACACTAAAAATGTTCTTTGTTCTCAAGGTAAAAAAGATCATTTTTATTTTCAGAAGAGAACACAGCTGTTTTTTTCAACACGCGGTATATGTCAAGGACCAGAAACAGTTTTTAAAATCTTATTGCCAATTCCAACATCAGCAATACATCCAATGAAAGATTTCTTAACATACTGCAATTCTCATAAATACAACAGAATTTTTTTAGAAGACTCACCAAAGATTTACTCAGATAAAACATCATTCATGATAAATCAAAGATGATGACAAAGGTACAGTACTATAATTACAAGTGTCTGAATTAATCTTTAGGGACATTTATTAAAGAGGTCTTTGAAAATGGTGTCCTGTGGTGCCATGAAACACCAATCACCTTGAAAGACCATGTGGGATCCAGTTTAATGTGCCATGTCTTTTTTGTCATTTCAGTGGAAAAGCAAACATAATTGCTTTCATTTTAATCTTTTTTTCTCCAACAGAAATAATGTGAATATACAAATAAAGCAAGAAGTCGTCAAAGGTTCAATTTAATTTAAAGATGTTTGCCAATCTAACTATCCATGTAAAAAGAAAAATCTCTACTTTTTCCAAATAATATTGCAGGGTTATAGCCCAGAGGTTTTCCTTGCCACCAAAGTGAACTGTAAACTATAATGAAGTATCATCAACAAGCTGAGGCACTGAGACATGAGGAAGTAGCATGAACATTAATACGTTGCAAAGCACTTGATATTAAATTTTGTGTGTATGGTTGGTGAAATGGTGGCCTGTTCCTTAACGGGCCTGGTGCCTGATCAGTTATCAGACCCTCTGGAAAGGGAGTGAGTGATTATAAGAGCCAGCAAGTGGCTCATTTGAGGGGGAACGGCAAGGAGAAGCTGCAGGAAGGGGCAGGGTCCTGCAGGAGCCCCTGCAGAAGGAAGGCAGGCTCCACGTGGTAAGTCCTGGGACTTGCGGCTGGCTAGTAAGCCTCAGCTGACAGTCTCCATTTTCCTTTTATGAGTTTGTGGATATATGGACAATAAATGGAGCCCAAAGCCAAGGTTTAAAGACTAATTTGGTATGGCTGATAATTCCCCAGGCTGGTGATGAAGCAAGTATCTTATAGCTGGTTTTTAAAAGTGTAAAGTGCCTAAAATTCTAGATGGATACTGGTAAATAAATAAATACTGAAGACCAGGATGTGTAAGAGCTTCACTGATTGGTACTGACCACTCTAGTATACGCACTACACGGAAGCCTTCATTTTAACATGAAGGAAAGTAAAAATGGTTAACATCCATTGTGCTGTCTGTTTCAAGAAAAGCTTCTAAAGCCAGGTATTTATTGTGCAATATTTATTTCTTAATCTAAAATACTGAAAATGAATGTCACTGAAGCTGCAAAGGCTGTTTTGGAGGCACAGGGTTGGAAGGTTGGTTGGAAGGGCACTAGAGAAGAATACAATTGTAGTAGCAACTGAGAGGATGGGGAAAGACCACAGAAGAAACTGGGGAAGCCATCCCCACAAGGAATTAATAAAAATGGAGCTGCAGGTGAAATTTCATTATTTCCAAACAAAGAGCTGCAATTGTAGGTTAAATGGTGACATTTCACCTTTTCTTTGAGGGGGGGAAAAATGATTTCTAGGAAGAATGTCAACTCCCACATGTGAACATTCATGAAGCAAAAATGTGATGTATGTAGGTATTTATTTTTTATTCATGCAGCTCTAATTTGCCGTATGGAGCCAGAAATACCTAGCTTTGTGTTCCACTTCCATATGCCACACACAACACAACACTCTTATCGAGAAGCACTCCAGATAGCGTGAATATAGTATTCAGCCACCATTTATGTAGCTTGTACAGTTAGGAGCCTTAGCTATAATAAACTAGGTAGGAGCTTTAGCTATAATAAGATAAAGCTGCTCCCTCACAGTACGTGGCAGAAACCCTGATGGAGGGAAGTCCTTGCAATCCATGCTGTTCTTTGCGGTGAATCCCCATTGTAGCACAGGAGCTTTAGCTGGCATAGGGAGGTGTACATTATAATAATAAGTACCTAGCTCTTACATAGTGCTTTGGATCAGTAGATCTCAAAGCATTTTACAAAGGAGGTCAGGATCGTTATCCCCGGTTTACAGACAGTAGATGTGACTTTCCCAAGGTCCTCAGCAGGCCAATGGCAGAGCCAGGAATAGAACACAGGTGTCCCAGTCTCAATCCAGTGCTCTGTCCACTAGGCCTCACAGCCTCCTGTTACATAACATTCCTTCCTCCTCTCTCCCACAAGCACTAGAGGATTGAACAAGGGCCCAAAACAGTGTAATGTGGACTGAGAATGCAGACTGGCCTACTGAAGTCCTGGTAAAGTTGTGGGAAGATACTTAGGAAGTGTAATGCAGTCAATGCTCTGTTGCACAAGGGACACTACCAGAACCATTCTGTAAGAGCCTATGTGTGGCAGTGTGTTTACTGCTTGAGTTCTCGAAGTTACAGTTTAAATAGAGACTTCGCTCAGTAAACCCCTTTAAAAGGCTGGTGTTTCTTCCAGTGGTGAAATGTTACAGATGTGGGTTCCACCCTATTCATAGCAATAACAGCACATTCAGAGGACTTTAGATTGCTTCAGCCTGAAAAATGAAGGCCCCCCCCCCAAAAAGGCAAGAAACAAACAAAATTTCGGAGGGGAGAAAAAAAGATTTATTTAT